AAAAAAAAAAAAAAAAAAAAAAAGAACGATGCGCCGTAAAATACACGAGACGAACAGATTTACGACATGGTACGTGTACGTGTCACGGCAACTCGTTCACGCTAAATGCCAAGAAATTTGTCGATATTTGCAGGTAGAAAATGCGTATGCACGAGCAAGGCCTGTAAAGAAGCCGGTGTCGACACGTGCAAGACCAAGTTTTACTGTTACACAGAGTTGATCTTGACTGGAGACCAAGAATTCGGAGGGAATGCTACGACAAGAGGATGCACCGAGTTCGTATGAATTTTATTTTGAGATTATTAACGTTGAAAAAGAGAATGACGATGTTGAAAGAAAACGTGGTAAACAGAAATCAGTTAGAAGATACGCAAAAATTTCAAAGTCTATTTGTCTTGGTCGAGAAAATAATATCGTACGAAGCAGAAAACGTAGAAATCGCGTTTCAACTATTACGATAGTAGTAACCTCTCGTTTAAAAGCAACACCCCGACCTCTAACCTTTTCCTCTTATTCTACAATAAATTCCAACGGTACAAATCCGGTTGACTCGAAGACGATTTAATTCGCTGAATCTTACGATTGACGTACCGCTATAAATTCGCCGTGGCTCTATGGCAAACAGCAGGTAACCTTGACGAGATAATCGGTGCGAGAAGTTTTCACGAATTCTTCCTAAAGCCGTGCTAAAATGACGAGAGATGTCGAAATCGTCTCGACTCGGAGCGTTCGAATATCGTTAGCCAGTTTTTATTGCTACCAATTAAATCTTCGAGCCGTTATCGGCAAGTGTAGCGTGGCGTTAATTACCAGATAACTAGCAACGGACAAAATAATTTTTATTGAAGATAACGCGATTCGCAAACAACGATCGAAATTGACCTCCTTTTTTCGACCGAATTCCTTCGTGATATTTTCTTCACTGGCCACGAAACGATCGATTGCTCGCCAAGCGTAACAAGCGCGATACACGCGCGGAATATTGAAATCTCGCGACGTAAATCGTACAAAATGATTATTTAAATTCCGACTATCGCCGGGGTCGGAGAACTTTATCGAGCAGTGGCCATTTTATCGGAACGTTGTACGTTGCCATTGCTCAGGGGTGCCACGCCATTGTTATGCGAGACAAAGTCCTGGGTCACGAGGTCGAAGTCGAGCGACAACGTGGACCGATCGTCGGCTGCTTGGATCCGTATGCCCTGGCCCAGATTGAAGTGTTGCGACAGCCACGACTACTGTAACGCCGATCACCGCATAAACGTGTCCACGTGGATCCACGACAAAGAGACGCCCGATGCTGTGGAACCCACTTTAGATTACACCGGTAAAGAGTCTTTTGCTACCTTCGTCTATTTACAATGGCTCGCAGAATTATTTGTACACGTATAGAAACGCATATTTTTACGCATATATAATGCTATTCTAAACGATACCATACTTTGGATATTTAGATATTTTGATTATGTTTGCGTATTGCGCGCATCCTACGTAATCTCGCGTCTTTAAATTTTCCATGCGAAATAAATTTTATGCAAATTTCATGCAAATTTCATGCAAAATAGAGCCGATCAGTATGATTTCAGAGAGGTTCGTACGTCGTTAAAGATATTTAAGTATTCTCCTTATTTCGAAGACATAGAAGTTTCACCCTAAATTCGTACAGGTTGGCGCCACTTCGACAATGTTGAAACTACTTACAGTAACTTTGAGTCTCGCTTTATTTACGATCTTACCCGCTTCATTTACACGCTTCGTAGATATCTGTAACAATTTAACCGAAGAGATATCGCGCTGTATGATTCAATGCCAGAACATTTAAGGCGCCACTGTTCTCGACTAAACAAGCTCGAGGAATGGATTTTCTGATAAGTCTTGTATTATGTACAAAGGTTCCTTTAATGGGATGTCGTCGAGCCGAGACATAATGGGATCGATTCAGCCGGATCCAGGGCCGATTGCCGGAGGTCGAGAATCGCCGGATCAATTCCTTGAGAATCGCGTTAAACCGCTGCACGTTGCTGCGCTGGTCTTGGCGATCGCTGCTCTGATATCGGTCCTAGCAGCCTGCTACGTTATTACAAGGTCTGGAAATTTTTATTATCTCACCTACCGTAAAGTTTCTCGCTAGAAAATCGCGTGCGCGCCGCGAGAAAGGTGTCGGATCTCACGTAACGAACTTTTATTGACTTCGCTTTTGCCGCGAAGAAAACCCAACGCTGCACTGGCAAGATGCATCTATAAAACTCGTATTTTACGACGCTAAGCACGTTCGAGCAAAGAGGGTGTCGCAAATGAACGTTTGACGTATTGCCAGAAAAATTCCTCGTAATTTTTTATTTCATAAACGCGACCTATTTAAGAATAAGTAGTAATCCTCGATCGTTCGTCCCGCTTGTCTTCTTTTCTTCCTTTTTCTTACTTTTTTCTCATTAATGACGTTCCCTTTCTTTCTTCACCTACGTCTCTCCTTTTCCGTTTCGTATACAATTGAAAAATATTCCTGTATTTTCGCCACATTCCTTGATACTCTGCCAAGAATTTGTTCGCCTCTTTGTTGAGGAAACAACATTCATATGTAAGTTCGTAATTGTAATTACTTGGCATTGGCTGCTGGCATTCTAGTCTGCCAGGCTTTTCCAGCGAATCGATTCGCGGCGACGCGTCGTTTCAAATTTGCGATCAAAGCAAAAATTTCGATTCGTTTCTATGACAAAACACAATAGACGTGCCAGAAAAATCTGATCGAAGGAAGGAGCGAGTGCCGGCGAACGCGAGCTGCCTTTAACGCATTTCCCTCGCGCGTCTAAACGCTCTGAAAAACCCTCCTATTGGAAAGCACGGCACGATGAAAAACCTTGTGCTAATATTAACTCGGCGACCCGTTAACAATCACCGTTCACGAGGTTACAAACTGCAACTGCCATCCGATAGTCGCTGACGTTGTAGTCAATTCAGTACTCACACGTCGAAAATCGGCACGCTGCGTCTGTTAACCACGATTATCAGCTTAGTCGGACAGTTCGGACTTGAAATATTACCGATATTAATAACACGTACAAGGAGTCCTCTCATTGCCGATCCGATAAGCTAGCCACGTGCGACGTGTCTCGCCTTGTTGTCGATAGTTGGCGATAGACAATCGATCGGTAAAAATCTGATGGCATAAATGTTCCAGTCCGATTGCATCGAATAATAATCAATTTGTCGTTCCATTTTCCAACAAGTACGATAATATTTTTTATCCCTTAACTTTATTCAACCGAGAAACCGACTTAACTGACTCGTCTCTAATATTCCTAATCTCTTAGAAATAATCGTTTCTTTATCTACAAACCTATTCGTATAATTTTTGTTAACGAATGACTCGGTTAACAAATTAATAAATTTCATAGTATCGTGTCGTAGTATAATTGTACCTACAATTTCCATTCTTTCCACCGAGTCACGTAACACAGCGGCATTTCCTTTCGGATGGCACTTTTTATTATCTGACCATGTTCCCTTCTTCCTTTTCTCAGCCGGTCGATTTCAGGGGTCTGAAGCCTGGCCGGTTTGTCGATCTGACTAAAAGCCGCTCAACTCGCTTCTTATCAAGACTCCTTTTTCTTTGGGACCCTGTCGAAACTGATAACGAGTCCCGAGAGGCCCACCGTGGGCTTTACCCTCTAATCTTCTGCCTCCGAACAGTTAAGTGCATTTTCGAGTTTGGGAATGTCCTGGTCTTCGGCTCGCGTCTACCTTCCTCCACGTGTTGCTTCCTTTCTTCCTTCTTTATCGCGCCTTCGAGTATGTCTTTCGAGCGTCACGATTGCCTGTAGAAGGGACCAGCGTTCCTTTCCCGATTTCTTCGTGTTTCACACGGTCCCAACTTTAATGTGGCCACGTTTCTATCTGCTTGTAATGACGTTGCCTTGTCACAAGGATAACGCGCAGCCCAAAGAATCGGTAGGGGCTTCTCTTTATCGCCGCAGGCACGGCGTCTCGAGTGCAGGGAAAATACAGGCGAATTAGGATAACAGACACCGATAAGCGGCAAAGTGTACATTTTGGTGAATGCGCGTTTCTACTTCGTCCGCTGTTTATCACCGGATATTTTTGGAGTACGGTCCACCCGTGCTTCACGGTGTTTTGTGCTCGGCGTCGCACCGATAACTGAAACTTCATAGATTTAGAAACACCAGAAATTTTCGACGTCGACGTTCGCCTTCATTTATTTCTAAGATTTCATTCAGGGTCGTAACGATACTCGAAACTTCGTAGATTCATAAGTCGCCCGATTTCTGATATTCGTGATATTCACATTTGTTCGTTCGTATGTTCCTTTTGGAATCGCGTTCCATGTTACAACGATACTTGAAATTTCCGACATTTGTTTTTGTACTATTTTTAAATTCATGGATGGCGTGTTCGGTTTCGCGTTAACAACCGGCCACAAATCGTCCAGTTTTTCGCTGCTGATGCCGTTCACTCGTTTGCAGATTCTTGAAAACAAATCCATACACCGTTGGCAGCGTGGAATAACGAAGATCCTTACTTGTAATCTTTAAGCCTCGAAACTTTCCAACAATTATCACCATCTCCTTTTATCGGATTAAAGGAATCAGGTAAGAATCCAATTAATAATTCTTTGTCAGGCAAACGGACGTGTGAAATTTATTAGATTACGTATTACCGGTTTCATTGTACGAAGAGAAACTACGTCGCGTCCGAGCCGGAGTTAAATCGGCTCGAACGTGCGTTCGTACGCACTCACGGACACGGATACTTTCTGCCTTTAATCGTATGCCCCTGATCGACTAACGAACGCAAAATATAAATAGAAGCCGGCTGTGCAGGAGATAACCGCCGCCGACAAGCCAAACGAGTCTGTATCGAACAGATTTTTGTCATGGATAATATCGAACAACTTTCGACTCTCGGTAGCCGGTAGCGCCAGAAGATTATCGACAATAGCAGACGCGAATAATTTCATCGATACTAGACTTGCCCTTTCAAATCCATGCATCTTTAAAAATTGTAATTAAGTCGTACGTAATCTAGTTTCACGTTTGTTACTCTGGTTTATCAATGCTTAATTATTTGTACAACTGTTCTGTTGTATTTGACTCAATCGACTATTCTTCGTGTTTGTTCAGGGCGATGGGACCCGGTGGCGTCGAACGGATGCGTGGAAACGTGGGATATCATGCGGTTTGAAGAGTCATCGATGGAAGGCATGACGAAGCTCGACGAGGGACAGTTTTGGGCAAACAACTCGTTGAAATCTTTTGTTTCCAAGGGTATGACTAACATCGGGCTGCGCCTCTTATTTGAATTCCGTCCTCCCGGTCTCACGGGTCTAAAACCAGGTGCTTCGCTTGTTTCCATGTAATTAGTCATCCTCGGGGCATGCACGTAGTTGAAAGAAAGAAGCACATACTTGTGTAAAGCGTGGAAGAATCGGACATTTTTAGGATGGTGGACGAATTTGGTGATGATCGTTTGGTGGTGAACGTTTGTTATATGTACGACGTTGACTCTATACTAAATATGACGGTAGACAAGAGCCAGTGTTGGAGTCAGTGTGCACGTCGAACGATGATACGATAAGTTATTATGCGTACAAGAAACTGCATTCCCGTTCTAATGGATTTACATCTTGTTACGATTGTAAATAATTTGTATAAGAATAGCGTAAGATAGTAAGTATATTGAGGCGTAAAAATAGTAGAATACGTTAGATCCCGATTTGCATATGTTTTACATTCTCTTACATTTTGTATTCGATGTAATAGGCTTTGATCATGTGGCAGGAAATACGGATAATATAAATCTCAAGGAGATTAATCAACATGTACGTGGAGATGGAATGGATAGAATGGAAAAATAACAAGACCTGTTGTTCGCACCGTTAAATTGTTTCTCGATCGACGACGAGTTATCGAAAGATTTTTTCAGCATCTTCGTTCGTACGATGACTGACAACCTGAGCCGTGTGCCGTCTGGAATCACGACGAACAATAGCGTATTCCATTAAGCCTACCATGAGAATTAACCAGTCAGCCATAACCAGGTGCTCGTTGGATCCAACTTCGGATTCCAACTCGACCGCCTTGACCACCGCATTCGTTGCGCCCGACGAAAATCAATCACTCGGCTAAATATATAGGCTCGATTCGTAGGTAGATACCCGTCCTCCGGGCATCCTCGAATGACCAAATATCTTAGATAAATATCTTCAGCTTGTCTAACTGGTTCATCCACGAGCCACTAACAAGACATTTCTTTTTCTCTTCCTCCTCTCTTTTTCGACAAGGTTCGTTTGTAGCAAGTTCAATCTCCTCCTGTATTCGTGGATCGACTTAGGTGTTCGATTTCTCTCGAGCGAATAGTTATTAATAAGCCATCATAGTTCTTTCGATCGTATTTGTACCACAGCTAATGTCAACGAACCGCACGGTACTTCTCGTTCAACACGCCTTTGTCTTCGCCGTTATCTACGCCGCTCAACACTGAAACGCTTTGAATTCACGAACGAACGAAACGTGTTGACGAGCAAGCTAAACTTGTCGCTTCGATTCTCCTTAAGCGAGAACTCGATGGGACGCGCTCGAGAGAGTAATATCGGTAAGACGATACCGTGCCAGAAGCATATTTCATTCTGGATTCGGAAGACAGCACTTAACATCGCTCACCGTCAGCGTGGATTGGATTATTCTCGGTGAACATACCAAAGATTCGGATCGGGGCAACGATGCATTATTCGTGTAAGAAATAAGCAAAAATAGGAGCAGCGCCATGGCGCCAACGAGTTAATAGTTAATTGGCTAATGCCTGGCTAAAAATAAGCTGCGTATCGTCCACTTCGTGGTAGCTATATTCAAAGCACCGGCGGCGCTAGTTCCTGAAAAGGAAATCCTATTGACGATTACAATCACGTATCTCGCGTTCTAGCGAAGGTGTGACAACAAAGCGATCGCAGCTTCGCGACTTTCACAATTCTCAATCGGTGTCCTCTGATCCGACGTTAATGTGTACAAGCGAACTGACAAAACAGGAAGATTGAAATAAACGGCCAAGGATCACAGATTTAAGTCTACGGAATTAAGACACAAGCTTGCTCGTTTCGAGGAAATCGTGCGGAGAGACGAATTAATCTAGCGAATTTAACACGCGTCTTCTCTACGATTGCCTTCGTGTGCCAGCGACAGGCCGATCCAGACGACGATCTCTACCTGTCTATGATCGATCGAGCTTGGGTCGAAAGACATCTCACGCAAAGTGAAAAGGTCCATTGACGGGCACGCTTATGCATAATGCACGCTGAAAAGGGAGGCCGATTATCCGGACAAAGGCCGATTTATTTATCTCGTCTATCATCCTACCATTATGCAAAACGATCTTTAGTTAAGCCAGTTAGGTGTCGACGTCTTCGACGTACAAATGCACAGAATATACGGGGTGTTCGCTAGACAAGTATAATTTATCTTCATGAACGATTTCATTTCTGTCGTTAGCGTACTTGGGGCGCTTCCTCGTCCGACTAGACTCGCGCAATTTCATTGAAAGATCCGATTCATAGGATCGACGCGTTTAAAAGGCCGCATAAGCGCGGCACTCGCGCACATTTGTCCGTAAGTAGGGAAAAGAAGTTGCCGGAGACGACGTAGCGCACGACAAAAGCTAAAAAGGAGACCGGCGGCTGTCAGGAGGAAGGGCTGACGATCCACAGCAGAAGTAAGCTGCTGCTCTTTTCATCGTCCGTCTTCCTCTTACCAGGACGCACGGACCACGTGCGCGCGCGCGACATACAAAACGACACAGTGTGTGCGAGTAGCGTGAATCGCACAGACACTCACCTACACGAAGCAAATGTGGCGTCTCTGCCTCGGGGCTCAGGCGCCACTGTCTCCCTTCTCTTTGTCCCTCGTTTCCCTCACCAACCGCCCATTTCCCGGCGTCGATCCGCACTACTCAACCTTTTACCAACACACAACTATACCAGCTTGGCCGCATACTACGTTCTGGTACAGTGACTGCCATTAACGTAAGTGGCAGAGGCCATGTGCGCGCTCTTCATTCGCCTAAATCCATCGAGTCGCTTCGATGAGGATCCACGATGATCGATGATGAGTAAACAACGTGTCGGAGTTTTAGAATTATCGTAAATTGGCTAGGAATGATTCTACTTTGGTAGGAATTTATCCCAAAATTCCTTCGTTAAAATATTCTTCGTTAAAAATAACATGGATCGATCGCCGTGAATTCATAAACAAGATATTAGAATTTCAGTATTAAACTGGATAGATGGATGGAATGATCGTATGTACTTTGGGCATTGAATTTACTTTAAGGTAATTCTCCGTCAAGAATAAAAAATTGACCCGATTAAATTCATCTGACTCGTTCGATCGAGATTTACGATCAACGCCGATACTTTAAGATAACTTTATTTCGAAGTAATTCTTCGTTGAATATAAAAATTGATCGGTTTAAATCCACCTAACTGTTTCGACAAGTATCGATATACAACGATGAACGATGAGCGAGCAAACTAAAAATTCTATTTCGACGCGAACTTTACTTCGAAATATGTAGCTGCTCGTTGAAAATAAAGATTAATTTATCAAAAATCGGATAAATTTCAAAATGAACCGTTTCTATCGAATCGAATACCAACCCGTAGAAATTCTATAATTAAATTAAAATTACGATAACTTCGCTTCAAGGAAATTTCTCGTCAAAAATAGACAAAATTTGGAGTTTCGTACGTAAACTCGGAAGATTATTTCCAACCGAATATTCTCTCGTGATACGTTTAAATGGATGGCCTACAAATTCGTTAGGATTTGTTATACGTTTTCTAGCGATGGCTCGGGATCGACCGGAGTCAAGGAAGGTAGATCATAGATTAACGACAGCCGTTGAACGTGCGTATTGTACGCGTTCACGGTGCGTGGCTCACCGACAAGGGGCATACTATCGCAGCCGGAGGCGGGACTCGTTTAAAAACTATCTGGCGAGTGTTCTTCGGCGGGTGCCCCTGGTGCGCGCCAGCCGCGGCGGAGTCGTCCGGCTGCACGGCGTTTGCTTTTCGAGACCGAAGTGAGTCAGTCAGTCAAGCGTCGACCATCGTCGGCATCGGACGCTCGTGGAATCTTTCCAAATTTTTCTACCACACGTCTACTCCGTAAATCATTCTTCCGTTCGTTATGAATATTTCGAAGATCGACGAAAAGATCGATCGATCGTGACCACGAGGTATTCTAATCGAAGACGATTCGATGGGGTTTGATCGTGGCTCTCGTTGATTTTGTTTTTCGCGATCGTTACACTAACACTGATCGGCAACGCGGTCCTTAACGATATCCTGACACATCAGAGTGCATGTTATAAATTTAGAATAAAATGTTGACACGGGACTTGTTGACTCTTGCGACGATGGTGTCCAGTCTAACTGTGGTCATTGGTGCTTCCATGGATCTTGATTCGAGGGACTACGAGGTGCTGGCCGATAACGAGGGAAAATCCGATGACAATGGTAAAGTTACATTTTCAGTGCATGATTTCATGGGAAAGTCAGGGTATACGGCCTGTGCCGTGGCTCGAAACGGCCGCGTCAACGGGTACACGTGGGTGGCGCCAGACACGGGGACGAAATCAATGAGAATAGTGGAATTGACGTTCTATTGTCGGGCGAGTCGAATTTTATACGAACGACAGTTACGTAGATCCGGAGGTTGTCCCGTATTCTTTGCTAATGCTAACTGTTGTGCTTCTGCGTGTCGTTTCATTGTCTTACGGTCAAAGTTTATTATTACACGTGGCCTTTGCACCTTGCACGTATTTTTCAATGAAAAACCATCGATCCTCGAATTGCATCGAGTGGATTCCTCGGAGGGCAAACTGTATCTTATCTGCGATCAATTCGAGCGATTTGTATCGATACACCGTACGTAATTAAAGTTGCGGCATGTACTATGCTTCCGGAACGAGATGGATCGATACGAATCATTGGAAATAATTAAGGGAGAAATGTAGCAATATTTTACAAAACATAGAGGAGCAAAGGGTAGCATTCGTGACGAGTCATTTTCCTAAACGAGGCGGCCAGGAAACTTTTCGACCGCTGCCATTCGACTTTGACACCGGAGTAATAAAAGTCGGGAAACGCCGCTCTCTAAATTAAGACCACTGAAGTCGCTGAAGTACATTAATTGGCTCGGCCTTTTCTGCATGTCCCATGACGCTTCGGGTTTGTAGAATAAACCACGAAAATTCCCAACGCTTGGTCAAACTGCTTCGAAAACAAAGTCTCGCGGGAGTATCGTTCGAACGCGATACAGATCCGACATTAATAATCTGTGGAACAATGAGAGGCTCGATAGAGCGGGTTTTATCGTTGTCGAATGTAACCAGGGAAATAACAGAGGAGCACAGGATGCATGGTTGGAATCGTTTAAGCAAGTGTCCGGACGATAAAAAAAGAAACGCGAGATAAGAGGGAAGCAGATGCAGACGCGGTATGCCAACGTCACACAGCGCAGCTACGGTAATTGCAAAATTGTACGTTCTCCGGAACGAAAGGGAAAAAAGGTTTGCGCTGGCATGTTTTAAACTCGTCTGCCGTTTTTTCGTGCCGCTCGGCGCAATTAAGGACGCGTGCAATTTCAACGTCTTATCGATGCACGTGAGTATTCGACCAAGTAAGAGAGGGAAGAAAGAGGAGCATCCTTTTCTCTGTGACACAGACAGGACGGTCTTGTTTTCTCGAAGGAAAGGTAAAATAAAAGAGCACATGCACCGAAGAGCCAGGTATCGGGAACGATGGAACGAAGGAAGTGGAATAGGAAGAATCGCGAGAGAAATTGAGTTGGATACGACGTCGAAATAGATGAGGAGAGAACAGACGGTAGAGAACGATAAAATCGTAGGAAAAAGGGAAGCACGGTGGTTTACTATCTCGTTGTGGTCCGGCTGGAATGATTCACGATCGATCGATAGATTTACGCGATCGACTGGCGCCTACGATGCGATACGGAGTCCTGCGGGATCAGCCGCGACGTACGTGGCCAAGCTACACGAATTCCGGTCAAACTCGAGGCGCTTGCGAAATAATAAATATTTAAATTTTACCGTTCGTACGATACCGAGTTTAGAAAGACGATAAAGTATGTGTCGGGCGCCAGCTAGACGCGCGAATAGCAGAGTATATAATATAATGCCTATGTGCACGATAGCTTTACCTTCCGACACGCTTGTCTGCACGGTCCTCGTTTACGCAAGTATACCAGTATACCAGCGAGTCTCCATCCGTGCATCGTGAACCGCACGCGCATCATGGACAACGTGCCGAGAAACGTGCTTGTTTCTTGCGTATTAACGCTTTAAGTGCGGCCACATTTTTACAAATCTCCTCCTTCGAACGCGAAACAGTGGCAAAACTAGGTACAATATCGTTTGTCGATGCGAACAGGCTCGCGAAGGTATAACTACGTTTGCCGAAATTTGTCCCGGACACGATACGTGTGTTATAGAAAATTCTACGACATATGGTACGAGTACAAGTATTGGTAAAGTTTGAAAGAAACGCTGGAAATGTACGCGGATAAAAGTTTCAAGATATTCGTCGCAGAAATGAATTTCCCCTTAACTTGTAATTCCACGATTATCGAGATTTCTGTTTAGATCGGATTAACAGGTTGTTTCGCGAACAACGAAATAATAAGAATAGCGTCTGTTTCGAATCGGATGCTCATGGATAATCGTTTAACTTTTGTCTAGTCTGGCAGATATAATGAAAGAGAAGAGTCTTCTTATGCAACCAGACGATACGATAAATCACGGCTTATACAGATTTTGTATCTTTACGCGTTACCTAACTTCTTCTTCCTTGATTCCTCGATACTCCTACTCGACAAATCGTTCGAACAGCGTGTTTTTAATCTTCGAGTTTTCTGCTTGCACGCGTAGATCTGTTTATGCGCTCGCGAATCCTACGTACATATACAGAGAAAGAGATGGGATTCGGTTCACGGAACCATTTCGCTGACGTTATAGTTTCTCAGACACGCGGCACATCGCATTCTTCGTCCCGGGAAAAATGCCTTCTCCACTCTCCTCTTTCTCCATCTTTCTCAGTGTCTGTCTGTTCCCTGGACGCTCGACGATCGCGAAGAAGCCGTTAATCTAATGCATCCGACGAATCCGACCGTTTATCTGCAAGCTGTGTCGATCTTCTTCTTCTTCGAGGAATAACGATCATGCAGAATTTTATATTTATAGTGCACATAGATTAGAAAGTTGCACGCAGTTTTCCCAGAATCATTAACGCTGATTAGCTTTCGCGGTGTATCAGGAAACGCTCGAAGCCTCCGATCGATCAAAGAGACAATGCGTGTCGCTTTAACGACTGCACCCGGCGAGTCGTGCGCAGAAAACGTTGTATTTGCAAGGGTTCATTAAAAATTACGTAAATCGACGGGGTTCGAGTCTCTTATCTATGCGATACAAACAAGTTACGGAATTGTGATAATTCCCAGTTCGGTTCGTGCAGCCGGTTGCATATTTATAGACTAGCGAGGTCGATTTTACGATATGACTCATTCGTTTCGAATCCCAGACGTGCAATTGTCAGTTTTATAAATGTTATCGTTTGTGTGTTGGAACGGGAATCGAGCGAGAATCGTTTGAATCGTAAATCAATTGAAATTTCGAATTTACGCAACGATCATCTTTGATTCGAGCATTAGTCCGAATGATAGAAAGAAAAAGACACTTTTGCGCGCATCGTGCATTGAAAAAAATCAAATTATTGGTTTTAAGCGAACTTTTTGTTCATATTCACTGATAGAATGTAATGAACGACTGAATTTGTAATACAAAAATATATTGAAATAAATAAAGGTATAAGCATATGCTGATCCAGATTCTCACTCTTACAGCGTTACAATACAATAGAAGAAGCTGTGATAGGGAGCACGTTCATATAGCAAAGGACATTACCAAAAAGTCAACCTTTTAGCTACAAGAAACGTCAATAGAAATCTACTTATATCTCTTTTGTTTCTAGACTTTGTAATCCAAAACACAATTTATATTCAAGGACACACTAATATGGACCCCTCCTTATTTTTAATTTTTTGTTTCACTAAATTCTATTCTCTTCGTAACAGCGGTCTCCAGGTCACGAATGTGCAAAAGTAAAGATGTAGTGTTTTTCTTAAAGTAATTACTTCAACACTTTTGAAGCCAATTAAACTTGAAACTTTTATATTACGAGTTCTGGGTTTTCGTGAAATCAAGAAACTGAGAATTTTGTAAAACGTGGAATCGATCGGTTTGACTTCTGACGAACTCGAATAATACTGAAAGTCGGCGACAAATAGAAGCGAGCGTTTCAAGTACGATTCAAAATATCTTGGCTACGGTGTTTACAAAAAATATTGGCGTATCTCCCTATCTTCCAATCGAGAATATTTTTTATCTATTTGTAGATTTCGTTTCTATAGCACCGAATTTTGCTGATCGTATGAGAATATCGCTAAACGATACTATATTTAATATATACTTGGACCTAATTAACCAGTATGTAAAGCTTTGTGTATCCGCTGTACGACTTTCCACGTTGTCTCTGAGAAGAAAAAGAGAAACCTGTTTTATCAAGAAACTTTAGACAACTTAAGAATTTTCTCGTAACTCTCTTTAGTATGCAACTAGGAGCGATGTTTGATACAAACATTTCATTATTCGATAGAAATTCACGAATAGAAACGCTATGGAAGACTCGAGGTGTTAGTTCAATGGTGGAAAGAAGTCCAGGTTGAAGAAAGAAAAGATGCAAAATGTCGGAATGGTCGCGAAGCAACTACAAACTTCTGTCTCGAACGGAGCAACCGCGTCGAAAAATGCGAGCTCATCCGCGCGCCACCGACAAACGTAACGCATGCACGCACACGCGAGTACGGCCGGTGTTTCACGTGTTCACACTCGGCCGAGTTGCAGCTGGTGTTACGTGCACTCGTCTACACACAGACGTACACAGAACCGGCACGGTGGCGCCTGTCGGCCACACAAATGTGCATGCGTGCGTGACGAGTTTATGCCTCTTTGTCTTCTACACGTCCACGCGTACGTAAATATACGGCGTGCACAGCTTTGTACATACACGTTTACCAATACGCGTGCACGTTGCGCCGCTATGCTCTTTCGAAGTGGTTTCGCGGGTATGGGTTCGCCGTTGGTCTCGTTTCGATTCGATAAAGCGCACAAGAACTAACGAAGATATTTTATCCGAAGGATAACGACGAGAAAAATGGATAATCTTTCTGCCTCGATGGAATGTTTAGATATCTCGATGGAACGAGATGCCGAGAGAACTTTGCCATTTTTCGATTTCTACGTAAAAACGTAAAGAAAACATTTTGTCTTGGGAGTAACGATGGAAAAAGCGAATGATCTCGTTGGTAATTCTCGTGGCTCATCTCGATGCAACGAAAGTTTCTAAGAGAACATTCCTAGCCTCGTCTTCCCTTTGAACGG